ATAAAGCTATCGTCCTATTAAAAATTCTTAATTGTTTCACGTGACTGAATTATAAGATCGGAAATTTGGCCACAAAACAAAAAAGTGGTGGCTTTAGACTGCGTGCAGCAAAAATCTATTTGGAAATTTAGGTAAATTTAAAAAAAACTGAACAGCAACAAGTATGATGGCAACCATATTTATTACCGTAACACAGATTCTGCGTAATAGTACTAGTAATAGTCATACAATATGCGGGCATACGAACTCACGCGGGATACAATACAACAATTCGAAACATTGTTCCATAACGTGATATGCAAAGAAGCGTATAAAAGAGATTTTTCTTGTCTCTGACTAAGGGTTCTCGATCTATTTGCTAACTGGGCTGGACCCGACAACTATAGTTGATTCGGCGCTCCAATACCGAGAAGTATCACATGTTTGTGTAAGTAAAACATAAACAGGGCTGAGTTGGCGGGCGCAGATCGCGACTCTTCTTTTATTCACTAAATCATACGAAACACATCTAGACATGAACCCAACGGACGCGAACGCAAGAGTTATGACTGAAGGCGAGTTCATGTGGAAATACAGAGGAGACTATGCGACCTACGAGGAAGCAAACAAAAATACCGCAGGTCACATGGTAAGCAAGCGAGCAACACATGTTTATTTGGAGGATAGAGGAGCAAAAGTTAAGTTATCGTTTGAAAGACAAATAAGCAAGATACGATACGTTTGGGTTAAGTAGAGTAGGAGCAACGGAGGGAGAATAGCTGAAATGCATTACAAGAGAATAGTTGAAATGCGTTACAACACCGGGGTCGCAGACTAGCTATGCCGCTTGTAACGTGCACCGAACTATCCTTTTTGTTAAATATGACCTTTAATGTTTCCCTAGCCTATTTGTTTTTTATTAGCCATCGTATATTGCTTGAACTTTAGACTAGTGCATTTCTTATCTCTGACATGTCTCTATTCCTCTTAGCATCCCTGAGACCGACCCTATTCCCACAACTACCAGTTGAGCCTCAAACCGTATTTCAACAATTTCTTGAGAGCATCCATGGTCGTTTCCTTGACCAGTATATAACAAAAAATGACGAGTTACCACAATTCGACCCACCACTGACTGTATCACTTAAAGTAACAGTACTGGCCTATGAAGGTTACCCTTCGCTCTTACTACATGCTCTTCCTGGAGATGTCAAAGAAGATAATCAACCAATCACACAGGCTAAAAGCATCATAACGGCAATGAATGGAGCAAAAAATAACATGCTGGTTCTACTTGGGACATCCGGATGCAGGAAAACAAGAACCTGTTATGAGGTGCTTTGCCTATGTTGGGGTTTTTATTTTACAGCATCACGTAAAGGAAATGGTGGTTCAAGTGACATTGAATCAATAAGATCCTTTATTAAAGCTTCATTGAGAGCAGTAATGAATGAAGATGATGCAAATTTCAACCATAATATTGCAGAAGATGCTACTCACTGTATAATTCTTTCACGTCTTTTCATACTCCACTATTGCCGATCCACACAAGAGACATTCAGCAAACAACGCTGGCTCCTGTTACAAACCTGCCAGAGGACTTTTGGACATCATTATAACTATAATGATGATTTGTTTCTCCAACTTGCACAAAAGCTTACCTATTGCTCACCAAAATCTGTGCGAGAAGCAATTCTAACTCTATATGAACATCTTGCAAAAACTCTGAAGTTTGACATCTTTCCCATTATTCTTGATGAGGCACAGGCACTTGAAAAGTATAACTATGGAGACTTTCGGTCATGGGCAAATTTTCAAAAGCATCGTTCACTCTTGTCTCCTGTTATAGACACACTGAGAACCACTTTCACCAGTGCTTGTGTTATCCCATGTGGTACTGGACTTTCTCTCCTTTACCTTGAGGATTCTCTTGTTTCTGGTATTGCAAAACGAGGTATGGGCATAAGCAAGTTCACAGACTTTGGAGAGTGGGAAAATGTTAGCCATGTACAGAATTATGTTAGTAAATTTGTGGAATTAACAGGCAAGGACTACTCTGATCTTTATGGTTATTTTCGTGGATGGTTTTGCCCTATAGTTACCTGTGTGGAAGAATTAATAAGGGGTACATTGATTCCTGCTGCTATTGAAAAGATATGGAAAGAGTTAACACTACCTTCACCATTACAGGGACAGTTATTGTATGATAAGCTGTCTGATATTGTTGTTATGCAACGACCTAATACTATTGACTCAATTAATGTCTTTGAATTGTATAAGAGTGTAACGCTTGCTTACTATTATTCTGGAGGGGCATTTTTGTTCACTAATGTCAAGCAAATGGAAATTGTGGAAGCTGGTTTTGGGCATCTAAAAAGAATAACAGTGCCTACTGCCTTGGAGCTAGAACAGAAATTGGGGACTGGTCCAGATGATACATATGTCATGGAAGGAGTTGATATTGATTTGTCAGGTCCTATCCCTCCAGCAGAACCAATTTTAACTGCATATATTGATGAACCATTTGCTCTTCATGCTGTATACAACTTTTTAAATGATGGCAATTACCTAGAACAGGAAATCCTCTCAATGATGTCTAAAGTTGATAATGACAGTGCAGCAGGCTTTCTGTGGGAGTTATATCTACCTAAAGAATTTGAACGAATATTCAATGGCAGCCAAGATATTGCAAAAATGGTCATGTTCCATGGTATTTCTGAGACTTTTCCTGCTGAGTTGCAAGGACGAGCCCAGCTTGTTCAACCTTCAGATGAGGCAGTCCCACGAGTGTCAGTGCCACTGCAGGCTATACTCTTGGAGAATATCTTAAAGCCCCACCAGACTTGCGCCCAACATTCTATTTCCCAGAACCTCGCTGTGGTCCTGATATTATTTTTTTTGTCAAAATCAATGATGCCATAATCATTCCTGTCTTTGTTCAACTCAAGCTACGATTCTCAGTTCATGCACTTACAAAGGCACTCAATACACTTGATCCAAAGAGATTTTACAAGGATATTAATGGGAACATTTTTAATGAGGAAAGTAATGCACCTGCCATTCAGAAGATGTGTGAGCTATCTCAGCAAGGCTCTATTGGTTTAGTGATTGCTTATCCTGCTGATGTGTGCAAAGTACCTTTTGTGACAAACTCAAGTCAATATAGTTTACGACAACACGGAAACAAACAAGTTATTGGAATCATTGACAATAAGAATGCATCACAAGTCTTTCAAAAAGAGCATTTGGCATTCCTAGATGCACTCAAGGACAGTACCAAGAGCATGAAAAGAAAAGCTGTGCTAATGGATTATGGAGAGGAGTTGGTGATAGCAAAACATAGCAAAACATCATAATGTGACTTAGCATATGTATTTCCATCTTTAATTCAGAATTTGTAAAGTTTTATATTATGATTATTTGAATGTAAGGAGAAAACTGTGTTACAAATTATTGGGGGCATTATTGTTATTATTGTGGCTTTTTCTAACTATTGAGTGGGCCATCATATATGTAATGATAAGGAAATAAATGTGTTCTTTTATGGCTTGCCATACTGATACTTTTCATACTTGTACATTCACCAGTTTGTTCTTATTAGCGTTTCTACTAAATTCCATGGTTTGCCTAGCCCAGTCCGAAATGCTAACCGAGTTACCCAATCGATTTTTTTTGCCGGCGGAAAAACGAGTTACAAATCTGTTTATTGTGACTTTTTGGGCTTGGAAGATGATAACACTCTGCGCGCGATTAAATACGATGCGTTCTGTGAATTGTGGCATCAGCTAATTCCGCGTATCCATATCATGAGTCCTCGAACCGATTTATGCGATACTTGCCAACGCTTGCGGAATGACTTACAATTTAAATCTTGTAAAGAAGGGGAGGCCCAAGGCTTGTTAAAAAGATATAAGAAACATTTAGCCAAAGTCAAGTTGGAGCGAAAGTATTATAACACAAATACCAAATTGGCAGAACAACAAGACAGCTCGTAAATCAACGAAGGTTCAACATTGCAATGTCGATGCTACGGCCCATTACAGTTACAGTCATACCTCGTTTATATCCCCACTTTGGGACGGGGACGCATACGTATTCATTTAAAAACATGCAATTTTATTGGTTAATAAATTCGGCTAATGAAATTTGGCGTTTAGCCTTTTCTACAGACTCATCTAAGCGTCGAATTATATTTCGTATATACTTTACATCGGTTTCTTTTCTCTTAATGATGTTTATTTTATCTTCAAGTGACAGATTTCTTCTTTCTTTAATATCGGAAATAGAAAGGTTAAACAATGCACACTCTTATATATATATTTGAAAACTACGCTCTTGGCTTAAACGGCATCTGGTTTGCTAAAGTTAAAGTGGCATATTTATGACCTGATCGCTCTCAGCATGGGTTTAACATTTCGAGAAATATCGGGGATAGGGATATATCTGAAGGGTGGTAGATTTATATAGAAATACAACAGAGGAAATCTGTCCCGTTTTACAGGTGGGATATTAATATATCCGAGGTTTGGATATTAAAGGGTGAGGATACAAAAGAGGTATGACTGTAAAACCCGTCATGAGAAATCTGCGGGTCAAACCGAATTCCTTCTTATAGCGAGCTATTTCTTTTAACGAATTCTCAACTAAACCGTAATGTACGGGAAACCCAGCACCAAAAGAGCAATTATTCAAGAAAGAGTTAGTGATTACACACCCGTCAAATCAACTAACTAATTTATTAACGAATTTACAACTAACTTGCCTTTTTGAAGTTCGAGCAAGGAAGAGAATTATTAGACATTTGCGGCGTTCACCTTATGTTCACTTCCCACCATAGTACAGAATAGTGCATTCTACAATAAAGCAATCAAATGCTTCGAAGTGGGCGAAACTTTATTGATATTATAAGATAAATAGTTGATCAGCGAGTGAAATATATTAATATGTACACTAAATCAGCCTTTCAGATAGTCAGTAATTGTAAATAGCCTAAAGCCGTGCCGTAAAGATATTTCATTCCAAAGCTGGATTCGTTTTCCTCAGAAAGAGGTACAGTAGTTATATTTGAAGATTTATGTGCCAACCCAAAGAAGTGCAAGAGAAGATTATCCTTACTTTATCGAAGGACATTAGTTCGAATATGTATTACAGAGTTACACGTACTTCGACTGTACGGAAAAATCTCACATATGTGTCTGCTTGTTTAATGGATCGTGCACTTTTGCGTCTATATGCTATGATTGTGGCAGATTAAAACGAAATCGTATTAAAACGAAATTTGGAGTCTTTTTGGGTCCTCTTTTAACGCCTCTGAAACTCACACACACTACCTGGACAAACCCAAAATTGTACATAATAATTATGTCTCAAATTTTAATCTGCTAGCAGTTCGATAAAGTGGTGGCATTGATGTTACACATATATTGCTCATACATTTTCATATTAATATGTGTAACATAGATACTGTCACTACTATTTTTCAGTCCCGTGACTTCCGAGGTCTGATATCTACTTTTATGGTATGTTGTGATCATAGAAAGAAAGCCGCCGGAGTGACTGATCAGGTATTCATTATCTAAAGTTACTACAGTCATGGATGTTTTCCTTCCATTCGATAAACGCTTCTTTCGCCGTAGGAAGTTGTTGTGACAGATTAAAACGAAATCGGATTAAAACGAAATTTTCTCTATTTAAATATAAAAATTTAAAATTTTTGGGGGGCAATTTTCTAGACTTTTTTGGGGATTGGGATGGGATTTAGGGTAACTTTTGTTAATAGAAGAGTATATGCGGGTTTCAGAGGCATTAAAAGAGGATCCAAAAAGACTCCAATTTCGTTTTAATCCGATTTCGTTTTAATCTGCCACAGTTATTAGTTTACTGTTAACCTCCATTACTATTACTACTACTACAGTACTACATACATACTTTAATATCGCGAATCTTATTCTTGTCCATCATTTCCTTTTTCAACATTCATAATTAATGCAGTATTTAGTATTAGTTCATTATCTGTGGGGATTTACATAAATTACGACGTTTTTCTTTATTTTGCCAAACGCGAATGTCGCAGCCGAAAACAGACGAAAAATCCACACAACCCTCTTCCTCATCCAACCAATCCGATATCATTGAAGATGTGATAGAGCATGTGGAGATGATTGAGTTGGAAATGAGTGTAGTGCCAATAGTGGGATTGTTGATTGCATCTTCAATCGCAGGAGTTTTGATTAGAGTAAAATTGACTGAGCTGAATTCATATCCGGGTGTACCAGTGTTTCCATTGCTTTACGCACAGTTTGTTGGCTGTCTGATCATGGGCATTTGCGTTCAGTCGAAGGATATGCTGTTTGATATGTAAGTTGTTGATGTGTAAGGAATTCATCTAGCAAGACATGTGAGCGGATCCTTGAACAAGAAAGACTGGACACTAAAACACTATGGCCATAAACACTATTGTAACTTTATTTTGCTTGAAAAGGTATTATCCATTATACGTCGGAATATCAACAGGTCTCTGTGGCTCTATAACATCGTTTTCATCATTCGAATTAGCCACTTTTCGAGCTGTAATCAATGACGGGATTGGGTATGGTGTATGTAACTACACAGAGCCGCACTTTCTTTCCTTTTATTCAATTCGATTCCTTACTACAAAATCAATTTACCAGATCATGGCTGGCCTAACTCATGTTATGATAACGATTGGAATGAGCGTAGCGGCATTCTGGTTCGGTAAAGATTTAACTGAACTCGTAACAAGCAAATATTGGAAAAATAAAAAGAAGAGAATGTACAAACTAGTGCCGATGGACTTTAGAAAAAATGGTTCGAAACTAGATTTTGGTTGCGTTGTTATTGGGGCAATTGTATGGATAGCTGCTGTTTCATTGGCGATTGTCTGGGGAGAGCAGCGGCCGATATTGTTTGCTACCGTGTTTGGGCCTGTGGGTGAGTACAATGTGATTTTGTTGAATAACGGATTGAGCGATATTAAATTCAATTGATTAAAATGCCAGGTACTTTATGTCGATGGCGTCTTGGAGCTTTCAATAGTGCAAAGACATCTTTCCCTCTTGGTACTTTCGCTGCCAATATGTTAGGAAGTCTGTGCATATCGATTTTATTTCTATTAAGTCATGGGAGCGTCTCATCAGTTATTGGATGTGATATCATAGCGGGATTATCCGATGGATTCTGTGGTAAGATAGTTATTTTATGCTATTCCTCCGCGAAGAAATCAATCATAGTAACGATGAATTGCATTGCAATGGCCTGTGAACTAAGGATGTTTAACTACAATATCCACATTCGCAGTAAGTTGTCTCTAAACAAAATGATATCACGTCGCAATTACATTAACAGGATACTAAGATTGAAACAATTCTTCTTGCTAGGTCGAACTAACAATATTATCTCGAGGGTTTGCATATAGATACGCAATAGTTTCTGTAATTTTAGGCCAGCTTGTAATGATCTTCGTGTTGGGTATTCATTACTGGACGGCAAATCTAAACAATACATGCGGATAATCATAAGAGTTATGGTAATAGATCAGTGTTTACAATTCGTCAACCGGCGAGGAAACTTACCATGTCGATTGACAGGTGCGCGACTCCGCTAAACAGCTGGTAAATAAGGATAGGTAGCAAGCTATCTATCCTATATGTGTGCATGCCGACGAATTAGGCTAAACACTCTATACGGGGAAGTTAGACGATGAAAGATTGTGTGAAGGCCACGGAGCAGTGGAGAAATAGAGAGATTAGAGGATCGAGTTTATCCAGTCAAAAATGAGTGGTCACTACGAAATTTCACTAATAGTTACTATACCAATTTTGTTCTTGTTATTTTTTTATTTAACAGAAGTTCAAGACTAACATTATAACTTGCAAAAAAACCAAGATGAAAAGTGGGATCTATATTAATTTAAACATAATATTATGAATAAAATTGAGTAAGTTGACAAAAAGCAAATGTAAAAGCTTTTTTACATATTAAGATTAAATTATATCAGGCAAAAATTATATTTTTTAATCTTCTAAATTTTAATTAGCAAGTCTAAAAACGCGAACATCTTATGGTAAGTTTGAGACTGTTATTATAAGTTTATAGTCAATCCAAATCTCACTGAGATTATTAAAATGCAAATATAAAGGCATGGGTATCTTTAATCATGCCTGACATATTAAATAAGAAAAGCAATAAATGGTATAAAAACTTATGCCAATTATGCTGTGGTATTACTCTGAGTGTTGTGTTGTTATCATATCAATTATATGATAACATTGGAAAATTTTGGCTTAATATTAAGAGAATTATATACTTAAAAAGAGAGTGCATATACCGGAATCTGAAAATTATTTGTATACCGGAGTCTCTTATAAACCCGTTCGGTATAAACAGAGTTGACTGTATAAGTAATCGAGTAAAGGAACGACATTTACGAGTAAGAAATGTAAATAATAAAGTTGAAGAAATGGAAAAAAGTAAAGCCAAGACCGTGGCAGATTTAGAGGCAAGCCGAAGCGGCGTCAAGAAGACGACTAATTTCCGTATTGCTGGGGCTGAAATTCGAAAAACGCATGAACTGGTACATGAACCCTTCGCCAGCGTAAGGGCTCATAACAGCATTATTTATGGCATATGGGATGTCCGTATTAAGGGTGATGCCAAAAGTATACTATTCCTGGCGGTAACAACCCATTGCCTAAATTCCCCTGCGAGTCGACAATAGAGAGGCATGTCGACCACAGGTATTTCGCTCTGTTCGGCTGTTATACAAATGACTTCTGAAATGAGATGAATAACTGGGGATAAGACACTGTATAATATTAATTACAATAGCAATGAGAATACAGTACCTCATAAGTGCATCAAAACCTTCGAGGATTTCTTGCGCAGCACGGAGAATTACCGAGGCCCTTCATTTCTGCGTTGTGAAGAGGCCCAGTAGCCTCCGAAACAGGAAGCTCGAGTCCTTTCAAGTTTTCGACACTGTGTGATAATAAGAGTTAGAAGAAAAGAATAAACAGAAAGATATTTAGTAATCCTACATTAATTAAGTAGCAGCATTTTTAAATGATATAACGAGACAAAATTTTAACAAACCTTTTCAAGAAACATCCGGTATATCTGATTCAGCTATTTCTTTCCAATCGTTTGGTGAAAAGAAAGATTTCATCAGAGAATCAAGGCTACAAGCGAAAAAAAAAAATCTGTAATTAACATAGTTATCACCAACATGATCTCTGACGATATAATAGACTACTCACTTCAGACATTTTTGAGCCTCTGGAATCGCAGCGACTGACGTTAGTACCGCTACTTAGGACCCACGATCAACAAGATGCTGGCGTTGGTTTTGGGATCTGCTGGGCGTTCTACAAAGTCATTGCTGTGAATCTGTCCATTGTCTTCTTCTTCAATTTCATCTTCACAGTTCTCTTCTGTATCCTCTTCGTCACTATCATCGTCATTGAACGTTGTTTGCGTTGTTGGTAGTGTGTCCATGATGTCAAGATTTATGACTAGCTATTTTTCATGGGGGTGTTAAAAAAAAAAAAAAAAGATCGGCAAACCGTCACGTAAACAACAAACTTTAGGGGGTTAGTTTACAGTAATACACGTAGTAATCACAGTAACCATAAAAATTAGAATAATGGTTTGGCCGTGGTCTTGTTTTAATTTGAGTTTATCCCACGAAGTGTTCACTTTCTTTAGATTCTGTCCACTCATTTCCAAGCTACTCATGTGAATTTTAATTAAGGATTTCCCCTTTTAAACAAGCAATAGTTAGGTAGTGGGAACGCAGTGTCTTGCGAATGTGACGCTATAAACTTTTTGGTTTAGACTGTTATTTCAAGTCGATATCAAATACCTTGAAAAAAACGCAACAAGCCCCGAAAAAATCATAACTTTTGTTACTTGTTCGGCTTGTCTCTATCTATTTTATCCAATTTCTCAGGTAATGCACGATGCTTTATTATTTCCGTTCAAAATCCTTAACTAAATCTCATTGGGAATATTAATATATACTTTAAAGTCATTAGCATTTTGTGACAACCATAAACCATGGGACTTTGGAGCGAATTTTGCGAAGGTATTTGGAGAGTGGAAAGCTTCTTAAGCGAAACAGTGATGGAATCGGCAGCGGGAACGACAGTCGCTGCAATCAATCCTTTTGCTGTTCCCCTCGATGCGTCGTGGCTATAAAAGACAGCTTACAGAAAGAAAACTTGAAGTGAAGCTGTGATAAAGGTTGACAATTTTGTTGGTCTTACGAAACGAGGTCAATGGATTTCTTATTAACAACAACCGATTTGATAACTGTGTCAAGGAGTTGGGGTTGGAACTATAAGACATATAATGGTATTGCTTTTTTTTCCTCAATTTTAATTTTATACGTTTCTTCAGGCTATTTGGTTGACTTTGGCGTCTTCCTTTATTTATCTAATTCATGATAAAAATTTAACTGCTCACAACATTTTATGTGTACAATATTATCTAATCTTGACTTGAAATTATTTGTTCTTGTGGATTTGGAGACGGATCTGGTTTGACAAACGTACATGTAAAATAAAATGTAGCTTGCTTTAAATGCTAGTTCAAGATGTCAATAGCGATGCCTTTAATGTCTCCCACATATTTGCTAATTAAGCGATTTTCTGAACCTCCTAGTCTCTCAGGAATTGCGACTGTATCTCGTGCACCAAATGTACCAGCTGTAGCATGTGCCAGTCCCCAACTGATCAATAATAACGATCTCAGTTTCGTTGGCTCACTTGGCCATTCGACACTGGTTGAATCAATGTTTGTTCTAATATTGACTTTATCTACTTTATCTATTTGTATGTCAGTAATAGTATTTAAATAACATGGACGAAAATAGCTTGAATGGAACGATCAGCTATTAATACGTACGTAATAACAAAAATCAATCAAAGAATACGCGTTAGTTAAATTAACCATTTCACAACCGACGCGTGTAATTCATTTATGTTCGACTTTATGCCCCAGCGCTGAATCATAAAGTTGCTCCAACAAACTCGTGATATATTACAATATCTACCCTACTCTATGTACACACTGCTCTGTCCCAACGCCCGAATCCACAAAATCGTCAGTTACAATACCTGCCTGATTATCATGAACCCTGGTTATTATCGGGTTAAGTTTTGATATCCTAAAGTTAAGTTGATGAAATTTTCTTGATGTTCGTGGAGTAAAGCATAGTTTAAAATTTTATATTTGTTGTCTTCAGGAGCTTTTACTTTAAAAATAATTGTGCTCGCAGCACACGATAAATTTTCTCTTTTTTTTGAATGTCGCAAACACTGGGTTCGTTATCAGGACACGTATTCGCTGGGAGACACCGCTGTTGCCTTCGAAGGCATACCATAAACTATGTCTAGGTCTTTTTGGAGGCATGAGAGCTAACTTATGCAATAAGAAATGACACAGCAATATTTTTATGGCATTAGGAACATTCTAGAATTAATACGCATCTGTTGTAATGAATAAACGAATAGTTACTAAATTATTTACATCACACCAAACGCAATAAATATTGTAAAGAGAAAAACTTTGCTTGGACAAAATCCAAACCAACAGCAAACGTTACAAAAAATGCTTACTTTCCGAGAATTCTTTTTTGGAGTATTAATTAGCTTCATTTGCTAAAACTAAAACGGGTTACTCAAACCTAATCAGAATGGAAAGTGGTGAAGTTAGAAACTTACTAATAGTAGGGATGGCTTTAGGTTTTGGCCACATTAAATCAAATTAATAGTGCCAACGTATATTTAATATTTCAGATCACTTATGTGTAATAGTTAGTTAGTTAGTGAAACAGAGTAGTAGTACTTTCGCTAGCTAACATTATTTTTTGGGTTTCTGTTCTTTGAATCTAAAAATCCCTTACTTGTATTAACAATTTATCATTTATATAATAGATAATATAATTATTGGACCTTAAAATACGCTGGCAGGTTCCGAAATCGCTAGTAGATTCGATCTTGTCCATTGAATCTTGAAATTGGCTGAACACGATTGTTAATTATTACACATAATAAATGCGGTTTATTTTGGAGTATAATCATTCCCTGACGTCCTACGGACTATCGAAATTAATCCCATCGATAGAAGGTAGAATTGTAACTGCAGTGTAATTGACAATCGAGAATCTGCGTATACAAATCGTTAGCCAAGTCTCGATTGAAAGACTAAATCCCAAGGCCGATCACTGAAGCTCTCCCGCTCAACAATAGCATTCTTTTTCATTAGAGCTTGACATTTTACGTTGTATTTTTTTTCTACGTAACTTTAGTACTCATCTTAGAAGTCTTAGGACGCGTTCTAGGGAACTTTTCTTTCCTAGGACGGTTTCTATTATAGGAGAAAGCTTGTTCTTCTTGCCCTAGGTGTTCTAAGAAAAACTAAAAAAGAATTAAACTGTTTCTCATATGTCGGAATAACATATATGAGATATCTGTTGTTGTTTTTTGAAAAAAGAGTGAAAAGCTTGAAAAATTTAGGACGTTCTAAACCCATTTTATTTAGCTTACATATCTTTTGTTCATCCTAAAAAATTTTTGACTTGAGACGGATTTTTACTTGCGGAGCGAGTAAGTGTTCGAAAATAGAATTACTCGTTCAAATCTGTTATAATCTCGAAACCAATATTTTCCGGAATTTTCTCTACATGCACAAAATATAGAGAATGTCAACTTGCCACATTCTTTACAAGGTACACGTGTAGGAGCCTTCCAATAAATTTTACAACCCTTCTAGTCAATAACAATCTTTGTTGCAACCTTCGCCAGTTCAGAGGAAACTGATTAAATTCTATATTAGTTTGCTATTTTATATACTTCACGTGCCTTTGGTTTCTCCCCAACTCCCAATTCTCATTGAATCTTTTACTATTACATATCCTTATTTGCAAAAATCCAATTAAGTCACTGACCATCTAATTTTTTTCCCCTTAATTTTATTTATCCTTACTTTTGCTTCTACTGCATGTATCGCTTGTTTAATGTTTTAAAGCCGCCACAAGTCCCTCGGTTTGTCCACCATTGTTGCTAGTAAACAGATTAGGATACAACATTTGAGATTGGAAGTTTCCTTCCTACTGATAAGTTAAATCTCTTTCTCAGCCTGTATTTGTGATGGTGTTTATCAGTTCACGTATACTATACTTGCGATTTCCTACAGGGAAGGTTTGATCTCATAGCGCTCTTAATGCTTAGCCTATCCAGCTTGTCTCGTAGCGAAATTAATATTAATGATAGTTTACTTTTAGTCATTTATATTTCGTTTCGATCGTATATTTGTTTGTTTAATTTATTTTATTATTAATAGTTGTTCGAACATAGGATTGCATGAGATATACAGTATAACTATTACTATTTGCTGTACTTATTAATTTATGAATGAGAAATATTGGACGCCAAACCATATGTTGTGGTACCATGCTGTCGTATACAGTTGTGCCAATGCGCTACTGCGGATGGAGTCTATGTTACTGACATCTTGTTGCGGAGCGTGCGCTTCGACGGTTTTGTTGGAGACTATCAGTCGCAAATGCGTTCATCACCGTTTGACAATTTTGTGAGTAGTTCTACGTTCATGAACAGCATTGAATTATGTACAGCACAACCAACAACTGTTCAAATCTGGATACGCCATCAGCATCAAACACATTTATTCATTCCCCTGCTTTAAAGTTGGACAGATTTCCATGCTGCATTTCATTTTAAAGTGGCTGGAGTAGTTTATCGTAAGCATACGACCTCATCAACCACCTGTCTCTGGCTCACGGATGTTTGGCACACAAAATGCATACTCAAGGAGGTGAAACAACTCGTAGTATATCCCGTTTACGATAACGTGGCATATTATACAGCTGTGCAATAACAATCAAATATGGAGTGTGGCAGCAAATTGGATACACACATAGCTACATTTTAGTTCTTGAAATTTATAAAGTCTATCAGAATCCGCTTCGTGTGGTGAGAGCTAATTGTCACACATTATAGTTGCTATGGCTTTTGAGCCCTTTCTCACATAACATTGTCTTGCACTCATCTTACAGACTTGTGTGTGTTTCCTATAATAACTCAGTATGTATCACTCGTCATTCATTGTCCAACGGCGATCATTTGCTGATTTGTTTGTGTTACTGTCGCACAAATATAGAAGTGTATTGATCAAGCGCTACTCGTCTGATAAGATCGCTCCATGAGAAGATCAGCTCCACCTTAACGAGCAAAGTATCTGAGATTGAGAAAGTGGCCATCGATGTCTGGCGCTCATAGCATTTTTGTAGAATCAGGCAACACCAATAAGTAACAGGTTATATAATGTCTATCATTGACTGTCATTTCACATCTGTACTATTACTTTACAGAGAATGTGTCCATAGAGAGTGATTCTTTATTTGCCAAAAACGATTCTTGTTAGCAGACCATTTAAAACTTATTCAAATATTATCGTTACTGAAACATCAACTTTAACAGTCAACGCTTGTCATATCGTATTGTCGGTAGAAAACAAGTAAAAATTAACTGAATTGTACTGCGGATATACAGATGATAGTGATCCTATATAATAGTACAATTGATTAAGAAATATAGTATATGTATTAGAAAGACATTTGTTATCATTCTTGTAATAAAGTGTGATTCTTTTAGCATCAAAATATTGATTAGGGAAGATTTTCTTGTGAGACGTTGATTTCAGGGCATTGCATAAGGTCTATGAAATTTTATTGGTTGGGTACACTTTGGCTGCAGTTTGTATAACCCACTGTCATTATCATTATCCAGTCTGACCATTAATTATATCGGATCGTAAACCCTATCTCCGCTGGATGTCTAGCGCAAAGATCTCGCAAATACGCAGTAATTGAATTCGCGATTGCGTACTCTCCAATTTTACTCATAACAGTGTTTCCATTAGTTTCATAGCATGCGTGACAATTACTTCCTATATGATGACGTATAATGACGTCATCCCACTCAATACCTTAAACCAAGTAATTGTAATTGTAAGATACCATTAATGCATATCGATACCAAGTGTTTCATGTTAATCGTCGCTTGCGAAAAGTTCTCAAGGATGAGCAAGCAACGCATAAAGGAGAATTTGGAAATAATAACACAAATGTTATTATTATTCCCCAATTTGAAATTAACCGAATAATCATATGATTTCTGGTGGCCACTGTATTGTCTCGTGAAGAATTAAAAAGTTTGTATTGAACTTTCCTATGATTGACAAGAGATCCTTTGATTGGGGAAGGGTAAATTAAATTTTGCGTTCGAAACCGGAGAAAATCTCTTCGTTAGACAAGTGTATCCATTTATCAGACATCTTTTTATCTTTATCGCCAGCGGATGCAAGTATGGTCACAAGTTACCAGAGAACGGCAAGGGTAGGGGAACCCATGGTTTGGAATAGTGAATCAATATTCGATCAATTCAAGAAGGCGTATCTCTTGCCTCCTCTGAAAATAATGCTGCCGAATGTCTTAATTCAACGTTTAATACAATAGTAATAGCACGTCAATGCAAGCTGAAATGGAATACAATAGTACTCGGATCTGAAGCCCGTAGTTACGGAAAAGACAAGTTTTCCAATTACCGTACTTCAAAAAAAGTAGTTAGAATTGATATAACAATCTCGTGGGAGTATGTGGGTCGTGACTCGTCAAATTAACAAAAAATCTTTATTTCAAATGTCAATGTGAGTACCCGGTGATAGTGGTGCAGACACACAGTATATTTATCGTTGGCATACAGTCATTAATTACCCTCACGAGCAACCCTTTCCACCTCGGTCTTGGCGCGAGCAAACATGGAATATAAAGCCAATTGGGTACCAAAACAGGTATCCGAAAATGAGTAGGTAACAGTACGGGTACCCAACAATTGTGATACATCGCCTCTGGTGGCTTAGATTCACTCCTAAGTCATCAATGATCGAATCGTCGTTTATTGTATGATTGGTCTATTGTAAAATTTTGTATGCGACTAAATGGGCATAATGCCCCAAATAAGATCCATAAAAGCGCTTCTCGCCATACATACCGACTCTTAACAACCTACAGTCCTTAGTATTACGACCGACAGCAAGTCCCTGTCAATAGAGACCGACGATGACTGATCCGTATCCTTACCACCACTCACAACAAGACACCACCCGGCAATATCCCACTCAGCAGGAGCCGCACCAATTACAACCAACCCCACCCACGTCGTCTAATGACTTGAACAAGTTACTAAATACCACAAGCGACGTCGGGTCTTCTCCACATACAAACATTTATCAACCTTTGGCTCCGCTGACTCATCACGTATATACACCTCCACTTACATTTACATATTCCGCACCTTGGAATTATAGTGTACAGGAAGGTACGCTGGTCAACGGTAAGTAACAATAGCATCTGTCATTTTAGATACTAAGGCCTCATTTATTATGAAAACTCCAAGTATAATATCGTGTTGAAACCCAAGTTTATGTGTTTCCTAATTAGTATCATTAAACATTATAGCGCTTATTATTTTGAAATTCGCCAACTTTTGTTAATCGCATACACACAACTTCTCTGTAGTAGTTATGTTCATATTCTTTTGAAACTTTGTGGCGCAGATTACGTTCATTACATATTGTTATGCCTATGTATACTTGTCTCCGCAGCAACTAGATTCATTTCCATCAAATCTCATAGAGCGTGTTGTTTGTCCCCAGCAGATACCTAACGAATGATCTTTTCTTTTTACAGCATCATCACCACCACAAACACGAGCGTTCTTCGCCCCAACAATGAGCACATCATCAGCTCCAACAAATCCTCTTGCGAAAAGTTCATCTCCACCCTCTAATGCAGATGCTTCTCAGATACGCCAAGATGTAAATATATCTTAATTATTTATCCAAGCCGCAATGCAACTTAGTAGCATCACACTGAACTTGTTACCACCAACATCACTAACATCACTAACCATAATTATCATAGGTTCGTCTACCAATGTCAATACCCCAATTATTAGTAAATGAAGCAAAACCATACTATGATTTCGTAGACGATGGCACGGCTACGCCACTAACAGGCATGGAAAGTAATATACACGTAGCAGATTCATCAAATCCCCAACAATCAAACTCTCGGCTACAGCTACCGTCAACACACGACTCATCCAGCTCGCACTCTACTTTGGTAAGTTTGTATGTCGAATCCGAGAGATTTCATTATATATGTGAACTTTCGATTCATTGTTGTCATTACGCGATCACTTACCTATCATTCGATTATACTTACTTTTGTCTGCATCCTTCTATCAAATCAGTCTGCCCAATCAGTGTTACCATCAACAAAGCCATCGCAGATGAGGCAGGCTACACGAATACGACTTACCACGCGGAAGCCCGCATCATCATCATCATCTACTCTTTCTCCTTCACGCACTAGAACATCACCTGTACCAAGACGTACACCTAAAAATCTTTCGGGCACAACCAGCACAATGACTAATCCAAGTAGCCCTGCTAAGACAAATGCTGGTGGTAGCAATGGGAAACGACGAAGAGATAGTTCTAGTAGTGCGTCCAGCACGGCAGATTTGTCAGAAAAAAAGGACGAAATACATGACCAAAATGGGTTTATGGATCTAAGTTCTGGTGAAGATTATGGAGACATGTTATTAGAATACATGAAGCAATTGCATCAAAGACAAAGAAAGGTGGTGGAAGATTTCGAGAAGAGGCAGAAGGTGAGTTCTGTGAAGTATATGGTTTTGAGTTACCCACTTAAAGTGAGGATTAGAATGCAGTACATATTAACGTAGATGTCGATGCGACAGTCAATTGGTTGTGTATTTTGAGCTTTGCCTTATCGCTAATTATACATAATATTGCAGAACAAGAGAGTAAAGATGGTTGAGAAATGGGGAATTCGCGTACAGAAGAAACCTCTTAAAAAATCCCAGCAGGCACTCGGCCGGGGACGAAGAGGCAAATCACCACACTTGTTGGTTAGGAAATTGGGACATTCTACGCAGGTACGCAAGGTTATCAATGATAAAGATAGGCAGAAGCTGTCTTTTAATTACAATGATATTATAATTTGTAGATTAATGTTGATCGAAAAAGACAAGAATCATCTGTCCGTAAGAAGGAGAAAGCAGAACTTGACGAGAGACGACGTATATGGCGTGATATTTCGCGAAATGCTATTCCAAAGGTATATACATTGTCATAAAACGTCTATTTTCATTTCTAAAGCTTAACTAATACCTCGTTTATATTTATCATTATCCAGGCCTACAAAATAGTAACTCAGTATACGTCCTCACGGCAGACTAACGCGCGTAAAATTGCCCAAATTTGCCAGAAGGAAGCTCGCAAAGCCCAGACAAAGATTTCCCGTTCTCAAAAAGATGCCACTCAGAAATCGAAACAACTCTGTAAAGCAGTTCTATTGCATTGGAAGCGTCATGAGAAAGAAGAGCGCGAGGCACGCAAAAAAGCAGAACGTGAAGCGTTAGAACGACAAAGAGAGGAAGAAGAGCGTCGGGAAGCCGAGAGACAGCAGCGAAAGTTGAATTTCTTAATCACACAGACCGAGTTATATAGTCATTTTATTGGCAAGAAGATAGGACAAACGGTAGATGCAGAGGCTGGGTCATCGAAGATGGAAATAGATGAAGGGGAGCTGAACGATGATGATGAGCTTACCTCTTTCAATGATATAAACTTTGATGAAGGTTTGTAGATTATGTCAAGATGATTATTAACTATTAATTCATCAATGAGTTTAGTCACTGACGGTCCAATTTACTTATTACCGTAGTATCTGATGAGGCACTAAAGGCAAAGGCTCGTGCAAGTGCACAAAATGCTATAGCTCAAGTCCTCGAGCGTACACGTAACTTTGATGGCGAACGTCAGCGAGATATGACTTTGAATGGTGCTGATATCGATCAAATGAACTTTCAAAATCCAACGAGTATGCCCTCTGCTCCTGAAATCAAACAACCAAGTATGCTCATGTGTCAACTGAAAGAATATCAACTCAAGGGCCTGAATTGGCTGGCTAATCTTTATGAACAGGTGAGTTTTTGTCTTTTAATGTGGTCAGAATTTTTATGAATATCGATTAATTACCTTTCTCTTTTACGTCTTAGGGCATTAACGGAATTCTGGCTGACGAGATGGTAAGTTTAATAATCGTTCAAAGACTGAAGCCTTTTTTTGTGCGTCCATTCACTTTATTAACACATTGTCAATATAGGGTCTCGGCAAGACTGTTCAATCGATAGCCTTAATGGCTCACTTGGCAGAGACCCACAATATCTGGGGTCCATTCTTGGTCATAGCGCCCTCTTCAACACTACATAATTGGCAACAGGAGATTACTAAATTTGTGCCTATATTTAAGGTATAACAGGATTAGCGCAATAATACTATTACTTTGGTTCAGATCTGGACTGACGATCTTATTCATTCTCGTTGTTGTAGGCTTTACCATACTGGGGTAATCCCAACGATCGTAAGACTCTTCGTAAATTCTTGAACAAAAAGAATCAAATATATACAAGAGATGCTCCCTTTCACATTGTCATCACAAGTTATCAATTGGTAAAAGCCCAATAGATTACTATTGATATTAGGATAATTTTTTAGGATACTAAGTAATCATTTTATTTGACATAGATTGTGCAAGATAAGGCCTATTTCGAACGAACTAAATGGCAATATATGATACTTGACGAAGCTCAGGCTATCAAGAGCTCTTCAAGGTAACTTTCTGGTTCAAATGGTGTCTGTATATATGTTTTCATCTATCGGATATTCCTAACACTCGTGTACACACGGACAGCGCTCGTTGGCGAACTTTACTAGCCTTCCAATGCCGAAATCGTCTTCTCCTCACCGGAACTCCCATTCAGAATAGCATGGCTGAACTCTGGGCATTGCTCCATTTCATTATGCCCACTCTTTTTGACTCTCACGCAGAATTTAGTGAATGGTTCTCCAAAGATATTGAGAGTCATGCGGAAAATAAGGGTACACTCAATGAACATCAACTAAAGAGGCTTCATATGATTCTGAAACCTTTCATGCTTAGAAGAATCAAGAAGAATGTCCAGAATGAACTGGGAGATAAAATCGAGATTGAAGTTCCATGCGAGCTTACTGCACGCCAGAGAATGCTATATCGCGGATTAAGAGCAAAAATATCAGTAACAGAGCTATTAGAAAAAGCAACCTCATTGAATGAGAACGAGAGCGTTGACAGTTTAATGAATTTGGTCATGCAGTTCCGTAAAGTGTGCAACCATCCTGAATTATTTGAAAGAGCGGATGTAGTTGCGCCATTTAGTTTCTGCAAGTTCGGAATGACATGGTCGCTTGCTCGTGAGGGTGATAGATTACATGTGGCCTACTCTGTCAAGAATGTTATTGACTACCATATACCGGCACTGCTTTTCTGTGAAGGTGGCATATTAGATGTTCCAGGGCATCGGACAAGGTCTGGATGGTGGTCAAAGTATGTTTGTTTATTGCTGAGCATATGGAGGGCTGATTATATTCACCGGTCAATATGGGATGGCGAAGACAAAGAAGAAAGTAAGTCATCAATCAATGTAATCTACGATTATAAATGGTTCCGGTTAAACAATTTACTAATAGTCATTCATTTACGTGACGCAGAAACTTTCTCGTTTACGAGATTTATTGGTTTAAATCCAAGTGAGACTGAACTTATATATAGAAATGATATCATACTTAGATGGCTTCTCCACTGCCTACATAATCCATCACTAGAGGAGCATTCGCCGTTCTTAATTGTATCGGCATGCTCCAATTCTGCTCGACCACTCAACCCTTTCTTACACTCTACTTCACCAAAAGAGGATTTCCTGCTTGGATCTACATACTACGATAAAGCTCCCTTGTCTGTATCTCGGCGATTAAAGGGTATGGCGCTTCGTAGAAGTCGCACCTTAATGTCATACATAGAACCAATATATATGCCAAAGGTATTAGCTTCTCCGATTGAAGCGTCATGCGAAAACCGTACCTGGCATTATCAGCAGATGGATATATTGCACAATAGAAAGATCGAATCGTTTTTATATGGATTAAGCGAACTGTTATATGACAAAGAGAGATATTCCACAACGTACGGACGTATACTGGCTGAAAGAGAACGGATTGGTATTCCGAAAGATCGACTCCCAATATTCGGAATGTTGACATGGAAGAATCAGAGTTACGTCCACATGCGAATTCCTGGTAAGAAATCAAATATTTGTACCGAAATATTGCCATCAAAATACTAAATATACTCTTAATTACGTATCAAAGCTCTCAAGAGATTGATCATGGACTCTGGCAAACTGGCCAATCTTGACAAGTTACTGGAAGAATTGAAAACAGGCGGTCATCGTTGTTTAATCTACTTCCAGATGACTCGTATGATAGACATAATGGAAGAATACCTAGCTTATCGGCAGTACAAGTACTTGAGACTGGATGGCTCGAGCAAAATTTCTGACCGAAGAGACATGGTGACAGATTGGCAGACCAGGTATTTAATCATCTATGTGAGATGAGCTTTGGCAGAATGATTCGTTCATGTCAGTGACTAATCTGTAATACATTCTTGTAAATAGACCAGACATCTTCATTTTTCTGCTGAGTACACGAGCTGGAGGTTTAGGAATAAACTTGACGGCCGCAGATACAGTCATATTCTATGACAGTGACTGGAATCCGACTGTTGACCAGCAGGCCATGGATCGAGCTCATCGTCTAGGGCAAACGAAACAAGTCACAGTGTATCGCTTAATCACAAGAGGTACTATAGAAGATCGCATCCTCCAACGTGCCAAGCAAAAAGATGAAATACAGAAAGTAGTTATATCAGGTGGAGAATTCAAACAAGTGGACTTCAAGCCTCGTGAAATTGTATCTTTGCTCTTGGATGAGGAGGAGCTGCAGCAGAAATTGAGTGAACAAAGTAAACGCAAGGCCGAGGAGGAATCCAGTAAGAAGAAGAGTAGAGTAGTGAAAAGACAGAAAAGAGATAAAAACACTATAATGACTGCCGGAAATGGCTTTTAACATGCATGCAATTGCAGTCCTCACTTATTTTGTACAGAATCTAACTAATCAATAAAATTGTGAAGTACCGCTGTGTAAATATAATTGTATTTGTGTGGTGTACGGATCGTGTACTAGAAGCCTGGAGGAGGAGTTCTCATGGTAACTTTGGTAAATTTAGGTACTTTGTGTAATGCCTTCCTATAACCCTTATGCTTTCTGCTAAATACCGTGTACTTATTACATGGAGGCATTTCCGACTCTTTCGGTAGTTGCTTTGCTACTTCCTAAAGATGACGCAACAATATAATAATCAGAAAGAATCGGTATAAATAAATATCAATTGGGATTTAAAGGCAGCAAAGGCTTTCTTGTTGCATAATATGTGATAAGACTTACCAAAGCCTTACATTTAACTCCAGACTTTACTAATGTTTCGATCACGTTATCGACAGCTCTCAAACGTTTCCTTACATTTACCTTTCTTGTTCGACTCATTCTCGAAGGCGACTTCCTGAAAATTCAGATTAATTAATTAGATGACGCGAATAACATTATAGGTTTAAGTTACCGACCATCGCAGTTACCATACGAGTCCACCTAAAGCGATCAAACTTGGTCGAAAAGGGCCAAACATATCTCTGGATTACATTTGCTGAGTGTGTGGCGAAATATTTTCTCTGCGCTTGTGGCACGATGAGCAGAATTCTTGTCACCGATCATTTCCTATTGAGGGAAACGCGGCAATTGAATGTTCAAAAAACTGAATTTCGGGTGTAGTTAAAAATCGTATAATAATAATTGCGGCTCACACAAATGTAAATTGCTCATTGGACTGTTACTATGGAGAAGCAGTTTTCGTTGTAAGAAATAACTCGCTTATCATGTGTATCGGTTCAAACCGCGATTTTCTCCGTAAATAGTTTCATATGATTCGATAGAAGAGCAGTCCCACTATCAATGTAGAAAAACTTTTGGTTTTCTTGCCAGATTTTAAGCTTAATCGCTCCACCTGTATTCGGTAATAGTAATACCATTTCCGCAAGATATCTTTCTCTACTTCTTCCGGAAGCCCTAATTCTCTGCCCTAGCGAGATATCAGGCAGTTTAGTTTGCCTTTGTTCGTAGTTTTTGATATAGTCACTGCTATTATCTACGTACCACGATAAAAATTTTCCGCCAATCATCCCTTTCAATAATGAATTTTCGTAACGCAAACTCGGGCTCAACGAGCCCAACTTGCATATTCATTTATTTTTTTCTTGCACGGTTAATCTCACCTCCCTCGCCTAAGCACCTCTCACGTTGTCTTTCTGCCTTTATTCTCGTAAGTTGGTTTCCGATAGCACGTTTACAAAATAATGAGTGAGGAAGCGCACCATGAGGACTTTGGTACTGGTGGATCGGGAGCGTCAGCGACGTATCCTATGCAATGTTCTGCCCTAAGAAAGGTCTGTTGTTATAAAGTCACATGTTTATAATGTCACTATCGGCTTTAGGTGGCTGAATTCGTGAATATGTTTGGCATACGTTATAGAACGGATATGTTGTACTCAAAGGGAGACCTTGCAAGATCGTGGAAATGAGTACGAGTAAAACTGGAAAACATGGTCACGCGGTATGATATTTGATGGTTGTAACTTTACTGCTGTTATATGATCCACATGAGGTAATACTGGGTGAATCGATGGCCGCTGTAATCATGTAGAAAGTTCATCTCGTTGGTTTAGATATTTTCACTGGCAAGAAACTTGAAGGTACGGTTATCTAATGTTGCAGCTAGTCGACTAGTCTAAAATCAAAGGCACACTGACGTTGATCTTAAATCCTATACAAACAGACATTTCCCCATCCACTCATAACATGGATGTGCCAAACGTCACTCGTAAGTTACACTGTCGTATTATAAATTTCTATGCAAAATCGGTTGGTTGCGCTTTCTAACAATTAACTTGATAATAACCAGGTACTGAATATTCACTTCTAAACATTGATGACGGCTTCTTGAGTTTGATGAATAGCGATGGCAGTACTAAAGACGATGTCCGTCTCCCTGAAGGTGAATTGGGTGAGAAGATCAATGCCGACTTTGATGAAGGTAATATTATGAATAACATTAATTGGAGAAATTGCCAACGTTTGGATTGTAACGGATTTATACAATACATTTATTTGTCTCCAATCTCTAGGCAAAGAACTGTTGATTACTATCATTACCGCAATGGGCGAAGAATCTGCTATTTCCTACAAAGAAGCACCCAGATGTAAGCGTAAAGCCGTTAAGGTTTTTTTTTGTAAGACACACAGCATTTGTTCGCATGACTAACTGGCTATTTTTTTGTTTAGCCTAATTTTTTATGTTTCAAATAAAACCACACTTCGTAATTATTCGAAGAAAAAGTAGAGTGATCGCATCTCATTTACTCATATTATATAAAATTGTCAATTGAAAAAATCACTTAGAATAAGGAAAATTTTCATTGGTAACACTATTTGGATTATTGCAAATGTTTATTTTTGCGGCATCATAACCATCGGCATCTTTCACTGTTGCAGAAAAAATTTTGACAGGCAGCGAACTTCTCTACTGCCATGCCCAAAAAGATATCATATAGTGAGTAGGCCTATTCATCCGCAGTAGTGAATGGCATCGACTTGTGTAATTCTTCATTTAGACCTGATACGCCATCAACGATTACTCATATATAGCCGTTTAGGCATCTTTATTTCTTCTCACATCCTTTCTAAAGGTTTCAAACCCAACAACTTTAACGAATTCCCCAGTGTAATTCGAGTGGCCCAATACATTAATAACCTTGCCTCTGCCAAATCTTTTGGTGCTCCCATAACCCACAAGGTTTCCAAAGCTACAGACACAGTATGGCTTAACTTCATGGCATATGTAACTACTGTACATGGCTCCAAACTACGCAATGCACCTTTAACCACATCTGGATACTGTGCAATCATACTAATGAGGTCTATTGCAGGACGTTCAGTGAGCAGGCTGACGTCCACATCTGGGTTAATGTCTAAACCGCAGTTACGTTCAATCGAACAGAGACGAGTATGAGCATACTGAAGATAAGGACCCGTATCACCTAGGGAAGAACTTTATGTGAACAAAGACGTCCTGAAAAGAAAAGCCATTAGTTTACGATACTGATATAACTTGTTAGCATACCTTCAAAAGAAAACATACGATCCCAATTGAAGTCATAGTTACGAATTCTGCAAACGAAAAAAAATAAAAAATAGGTGAGTAGCAAAGCTTGCTTAGGTATAAAGGAAAGAACTTTGCACTACCTTTTTGCGGACATGTCTTGAATCATCGTAGCAGAAATTCCGACAATATCAGCAATCTCTTCCGGATTATCAATTTGTTCATACTTTGTCTCATTTTGCTTCATGACGTTGTGCATACTTATTTTTGTTTGTTCAAGAATTTCATCCAAGAAAACGGCCGTTCCCTTGCGAGTGCTCATACCTTTGACCAACCCAAAGTTTATATGTTTGCAACGACTCACCCATTCGTTTCCCATTAATTCCAAAATTTTAAAAAGCTGTGACATATGTAAATCCTGTTGAGATGCAATGACGTAATACATGGCGTCAAAATTATATTTCTCATATCGATCTATAGCTGCGCCAATGTCTCGCGTAATATAGAGCGTAGTGCCGTCTTGCTTCTGGACAACTACCACGTCCAATTTGTATTTCTTTAAATCGATAATCAATGCACCATTCGACTCTTGAACAAGATTTTTCTCTTTCAAGACAGCCAAGGCGTTTAGAATTTTCTCATTCGGCACTTGAGATTCCCCAGAATACACATCAAAATTAACGTTGAGGCGAGCATACGTATTTTTATACTTTCCAATGCTGAGGTCCCTGAATTTCCTCCACAGGGCAAGTGCCTCTTCGTCACCTAACGCGTAATTCAGTACATTTAATTCGTTATCTCGGATAGCCACTATAATATATCAAAAACGTTTTGGGCTTACCATCTTCCATCTTTTTGAAATAGGCGCGCGCCCGCACATTGACATCATCATCATTTTCAGCGTCCGCCTGTAATTTTTATGTAAAAAGAGTCTTTGAGTTACAACTAATTTAAACAAGACTTCTAGACTTTGATAACTCACGTTAATTTTGACATAGACATCATATAAATGTTTTATAGGATCAGTAAGGAGCTCTTCTTCTGATCCATACTTCTCGAAACCAACAGCCAGAATACCTTGACATTAAATTTTTGTGATGAGTGGGGGTTTTTTTTATACAGACAGACATATACGCAAAGTCTGTATTTGATTACCATATTGCTTTCCCCAATCACCAAGATAGTTTAATCCAATTGTCTTCCATCCGTTTGCCTCATGAACATTTTTTATAAAATTGCCTATTATCGTGCTTCGCAAGTGTCCTGCGTGGAATGGCTTTGCAATATTGGGGCTGCTAAATTCGACCAACGCGGTTTTACCTACTCCCGTTTGATTAACACCATAATTTTCCTTCTTTCCGTAAATGTGATTTAGAAGAGTTTTGGCGAGCAACGCGTGGGAGATCTTAAAATTCAAGTAGGGCCCGGTTGCCGCTGCTGAAACGATGTATTCGTTTGCTACAAACTAATGGAGCATGTTCTGCCAAAAGTCAGCCCTTGGGTGGATACATGTCAAGTCATCCATTAGAAAAGAGATATACCCAATGTAACGTTCACCTTTTCGGCCCAGCTTTTTGCAAATTGCGCAGGATTGCCTTTTACTCGTAACCTGGGTACAGCAAGCGCAAAGTCTCCGTGTTCTGGATTCTTGGGAGCGTCTAACAACGCAAATATGTCATCGGCTGATTTCTCGGAAAGCTCTGCAATGGCAACGGCTATTCGACTGCGAAATGCATCAAGAATGTTATTTTCCAAGTCTGCGCCTTTCACTTCAAGGCCAATCGACGAAATTTTATCTTGGGCTGCAACTTGTTCAGTATGTTGAGTCGACATTGAAGCGTCAAGTCTGATAATAATTTTATAGTAATAACTATTTAATCAATCACGTGATTTATGTCAAAAAGTTTGCCTCTTGAGACTTTGGTTGTAAAAATGTCGGATCTTGTCAGCGATGCAGCGAAACAGTCACAGCAAGACTCGTTTTATATTGTTATTCTCAAAAATCAAGGCCGCAGCGTCAAGTTTTGTCAGATAAGTATGTAGAACCGAATCACGTGATAAAAAATCTAAAAGTGTTAGTGTAAAATCTTTGGTCGACAATCTCATTCCACTTTATACTATGCTAGATCTTATCAGAGACGCAGCACCAATAGCCGCAGCGACAGTCGCAGCGGCGCTCGTTCTTTTCGTGCCAATACTTGTTACTTCAAAAAAAAGCAAGCGTACCAAGAGGAAAAGACGCCGCTCGAAAAGAATAAGGGATGTTCCCAAAACTTATGTCAATGGCCTAGTTAACCAAGGGAGCAATACCTGTTTCTTGAATGCAGTGCTGCAAGCTCTTGCTTCTCTCGATTACTTGCGATCCTATTTAGACAAAAGAACTTCCTGCGCCCTACCAAATAATAATTTTAACGTCACGATCGCTCTTCAGCATACCCTCGGTCGACTTAACGAACCTTTGCAGAAGCGGCAGTCTTTTCTTCCAACAGAAGTCGTTTGGGCTCTTCGAACCAATGCAAAAAGCTTACTCAATCGTGAGCAGCAAGACGCACACGAACTGTTTGCTTTGTTATCGCAAGCGCTGACCGATGAAGATGAAGAATTGCGTCGACCAAAATCTTTGTTTGACGTGCGGACTGTTCGTTATATGGCAGGTCACAAGGACAGTTATCCATTCACGCTGAATTCTGAAAGGAATCCGCTACTCGGTTTGACAGCCTGCCGAGTATCTTGCATGAGGTGTGGCTATTCTGGTCCAATTAGGCATGCTACTTTTGATCATGTATCAATCCCTCTTCCACAAACGTCCAGCTGTACCTTGGACCAAGTGCTTCGGTCTTATGCTGGTATCGAATTTCTGGACGAATTTAATTGCCGTCGTTGCAGTTTATCTGAAACCTTGATAGCTGTTGAGGATAAAATTTTCCAGTTAAAACGAATCCCGGGAAAAGAAGCAACCAAGCTCAGGCAGAAATTGGGTGTTGAAAGACTGCTTATAAAGAATGCTTTAGAAAACGATAACAACGAAAATCTAGACACGCTTCTTGAGGCAATGCCCCTAAAACGTATGCCGACTCCAGCATCAAAGCAAACGATGTTTGCAAAATTACCGCTGGTTCTGGCTATACATTTATCGCGTACTATTTTCGTTCCTGGTATGACAGGATTTACGGGGATGACTGTGAAAAATACTTGTCAAGTCAACTTTCCAGAGATTGTAGACATGTCGACATATTCTCCGACGGGCTATTTGGCAAATATGCCGAGTGAGCTGCATTCCAAAGCAGGATCACCACTTTCGTCTCCTACACTAATGGCAGCTGGAAGCTCGCGAAGCAGTGACCAGCGTTCAATGCGAAATACGCGGATCAACTCGTTAACATATCGACTAAAGTCAGTAATAGTGCATCAAGGTGATCATCGCAATGGACATTTTGTCACTTATCGACGGAAGCATCGAGACAGAAAGTGGTGGCGTACGTCAGACGAGGATATAAGAGAAGTCGATTTGGAATCGGTTCTTAAAGAGGAAGCATACATGCTTTTTTACGAAAGGATAGGTCAATAGTCACCGGACTACGTTTCCTGTTTGTATAACCTTTTTGTTTGCATAATTCTTAATTTCAGAGTAGTAATATCCATTTGTAAATACTGTAAAACCTAGGATAATATAGAGAAGTATACATGATACTTCCACAGTGTATTCAATAGCATCCGGACTTTGTGTGATTGCTGTACATAATATTAATATTGTATATACCACGATAATAAAAAGGCATATTAATATTAATGATTGCTATGAATTGTTGTGTAACCAGAATTTTAAGACCGCGTAGCACAATGTATGAGATATTGCACTGTGAAACGAATAATCAAAACACCTCAAACGTTCAACATTAAACATGTTGCACATGGCGAGTCTATTCTCTCACACAAGATCTTCGTTGGGTGACACTCGACTCGCTTGTCACTCCTCGTTTCTTTCACACTCTTTTCTTGTTCTTGGGCATTCCACAAGGACTGGTTCTGTAGAAACACCCTTTCTGTACTCCCAAAATTACTCCTAGATTATCAAACCTTTTCCTGCACAGTGGCTAGCTTTGCTTTGTACCGTCTTTGAGCGATTCGGCCGCTTTCTCTGCGAGTGTGCTCAAGCTCAGTAGAACAAAATGTCTTCAGATAGATTGGTCGACTATGTCTTTCTTGCCGGCCTGCCCAATGACTTTCACATAGATCTACTGGAAAAGTCACCACCCAACATTGAAATCAAATCCGATGACTTGCACAATCCTAAAGCAACTGTTACGACTACAATTCAAAGAAACAGTGATGACGCCGGGTTAGCTGATGTCGCTAATGCGAGTGAGCATTCCGCTGACATCTTGTTCGAGAACATACGTTCTAGCATCTCGCGTTTCGACCACGAGCGCGACGAATTTCTAAGGTCTGTTGGGCGAGCTTCTATGTCCAAGGTCCCAGAAGACGCCCACGGTGATAGAATGTCGTTTATCAACAGACACAATTCTACGTCGCGTGGAAGATCGTTATATATGGGTAATAGCTTGAAGAGTGTAGACGAAGATCCGCCGGATCTCCTAACGCCTACGATTATAGAACCTCGGCACCAGAATAATGTTACTGTAGAAGAGAATGATCAACGTCGAAGTAAGTAGAACCTTGTGGGATTTTTTTTCCGGTTTAACAATACATGGAAAACAGCTAGAATGGTTAAATATAATCGAACGTATGACTCGGACATGTATTCAAACCGTTTTCCGTCCGAGAGTCGTAGTCTATGCTTTTCCACGTATTGGGCATCAAATATTAACAAAAGTACATCTGACTTTCATCAAGCGTCATATTTGAACGTGGCACCTATTTCGAAAGACAAGGAAGCAGCTGATAAGGGGGATCATCCATTGAAACTCAAATTTTGCCCACGTCTCCTTGCTCGTTATCCGCCAACTGATTATTCGAGCAAAGAAGATTTTCCCTCTTATATACCTATGGTTGGAAACTTTGATCCTTTATTCGTCTAAGAATTTATAACTCATCTTCAAGACCTTACTTATTAATCTGATATCTGTCCAGTTTTGCTTTCCGAATGACATAGTAATATGGGAAAGCGAAGAAATTCCTTCTGCAACTTATCACGGTTTTGTATCCTTTGTCACCAGACTGCTGATATTACAATATACGTTGTTCATATTTACCTTGACCGATAGTCTTATAGGTAATGACTCAAGAAGACGGATCGAGGCGTTATGGTGGTTGCTTGACTACTTATGAACCGTTGCCTGATCGTCTTGTCAAAGAGGTTAAGAGCCTGCACGAAAAGTGGTGTCGGGAAAACTTGGTAAGCATCTCTAGCTTTACTTGGTTTTCATTAATTATATGTAAATGATATTTATCAATGCCTACTTTTGATATGAAATTATTAGACGGTCAATGAAATCGATTATTGCGCCCATCTCGCCGAGAAAATTCGAGATGAAAAACAACGTATGAAGTTGGCCCAAATGAGAATTTCCCAACATGGAGCACAGATGACGTCACAGGCGCTTGCTGAGACCGAGCGAGAAAGAGTCGATGCGGAAGAGAAGCTTGCATTGTATACTCAGCTTTTGCAACCGACCAAGCTCGGTGTTATAGATACCAGCAATTTATGGATTCCAAAATGCATCGGAGTGATATGTCAGTTGCCTTGGCATGATGTTATGAGGGACTGGCTATGTGCTGTCGCATGTTCGTCGATTGAAGGACTGAAACCTAGCAAACAACAGAGTCGTAATTTGCCGTTAGAAAGGTTGATTTAATTCTCTAATAATCTTGGTGCACTTCTTATGGATCAATATTAATCTGTCTACGCTTGAATTCTAGATATATTGTCAACATTGTTCATGAGGTACCGCTTCCCCCTCCCGGTAGACTTCAAGTTGCTATTACTGTTGATGACACGCAACTCTTCTGTTCCAGGCCTGCACTAAATCAAATTCCCATAATGAAGGACGTTAGTAATCTCAATAAAGTTGAATGTATATGATCAATACGTGCGACGAACAACGGCTAATTGAATATTACTTTTACTACAGTTTTCGCTATATACTCTTTTCCGCAGCCTTTCTATTAAAAATATCTTGACATTGTTTGAGGTTTGCAATGATCATATTGATTGTCGTTTCGTATTGATAATTTATGTAATGACGTTCCATGTTACAGGTTGCTCTAGCGGAAGAAAAAATACTTTTGATATCATCTTACCCGGATATGTTATTTGTTGTGGCTCATAGCATAAGTTATCTTATCTACCCACTCTCCTGGCAAGGGGTTTTCATTCCAATACTTCCGGCTCGACTATTAGGATGTGTGCAGGTACATACAATATTTCAATTTTTGATCGTAATGTTCACAACGTTCTTGATTTCTGAATCATAGATTGACCATGAATTTTTTCAAGGCACCTGTACCGTATATTATGGGTATTGAACGTCAATACAAGGGAATGGATCTACTTCCTGAAGATGTAAGAGACATTTGTTATATTCTCGTACCTAAGCTACCCTCCAAGACTCGGTAACTTAAATATTATTTTAATGAATAGGCTTGTATTGTGGACCTTGACAAAGATTGCATAATGATTGCTGAAATGCCCTGCCAGGTCCCACCAAGACAAAGACGTAAATTGGTACAATCCCTAGAAGCTTATGCTCCCCTGCATTCCCATTATAACATTCCATTTGGTCCACCTCTTTATATACAGCAAGCATATCCACACAATCGGTTTATGCCAATTTCTGAAAAATCAAAAATTTTTGAACAAAATAAGCGAATCACTTCAGTTGTGGGAATGCCAGTTCGATCGAGTCCAATGACATTCGCAGCACCCTCCAGAAATAATTATCGCAATTCTGTGATGATTCCTGATGTTTACATTCCACCAGAAGCTGGGATTTCGCCAACTTTCCAATCGACCCCTGGGAAAGTAGATTATGTCTCCAACAGGTTCTCAAGATCCAATTTTTCATTACAGAGTGTCCCTGCACCTGGTTATCAAAGGCGGTTTTCCACTTTTACTGCAGTGGAGGGCCGTGAAAAGAGTGTCAAAAGTGAAAAGGTGAATACTGGTCTTCGGTCATAGTTTATGGAATAGCATCAGTGTGAAGAGTACCCTTATTATGTTTGCTAAAATACCCGACTCGAAATCGTTTTGTCTGAAGATTTTTTCAGCGACAGAAAAATTTAACAGGAAGCCAAAAGATCGCTTTGGAACACTGAACAGTGCGCGCAATTCTATCATGGTACGAAACCATTACAGTTCTGTCTATTATGTGCATTTTCCCTTTATTAAATGATTTGTACACACAGTCATTGCGCAGCAAAACACTGAATCGTCAGAGTGTATTTGGTCTGAAGAACAGCGGAATCAATGCCAAAGGAAATATGAATATTCCCGAATCACTCCAACAAGATAATCTGTCATTATATGATGATGCTGGTTCAAGCATTTTATTCGATCCATCTGAACGTATACCAACAGAGCGCAAATTTTTGCCCAGAGAAGGTCATTTGATGGTTGAGATTGAGGATGATGATAGTAGCCAAAACGGAATTACCACTTGGATGTTGGAAGGGCTTGCATGTGGTATCTGCAAAGAGAGTTTGGGAATAAATACTGTTTTCAAATGCGAAGGTAAGTTTTCGATTTCAGGTCAGAGATAAATAACTTACCGTTAGTAGAGAGTGCATTCATACAAAGGCGACAGTTGATAATATATGAATTAACCCTTGAATAATTTATTTTGTAATATCAATATTAACTTTTTAATAACAACAAAACCGAATCCATGCGGTTTGTTTCCCCACAGGTTGCTCGATGGTGGCGCATGAAGAATGTCTTGATGACATTGTCTACCCATGCATGCCGGCATGCTTTGATGAACAAAAAGTGCATGACGCCTTTCTACGCGTCTTTGCCTCCTTATTGAGTAACTATAGAAATCTTTTAGTAACTCAACTCGGTGGTGTTGATGGACCCCATAAAGATGGAGATCATAACAGACGTCTCACAACCTTAATGGAAGATAATGAAGTGTTCAAGAAAGATGCATTTCTTAAATTAGCAGAGAAAGAAGCCAAGGTTAGTTGATTTTTCCAAACAACTGGAGAACTTTTCTTTTTGAGTAATGATTGTATCTTAATTAACGGCCTTTAAAATTGTAGCCATTCCTATCCAGATTGGTCGATTCACAAGCATTCTCCCATTTCATTCATGAACGAGTGGTGTCGCCTCCAGATAAGCACGACATTAGGTACTTTGACGAGATGGTTACTGCAAAGCTGAATAGATCAAAGTTGAAGCTTGCAAAAGAAGCGACGTTTTTCCTTGATGTAAGTAAAACATTCTTGTCAATATGAAACAACGCGTAAGATGATACCTAATGATTGTGATTATAGGATACCTCCTATGCAGTTTCACAAACACTCCGAGCTGTGCAACCAAAAGCCGGTGAACTTGACGGTAAGAATACACTCTAACAATGTATCGGAGTTACAAACAATTCTTGTTCAACACCTCATTTCGATTCTATAATGCAGATTCCAAAGTTAAGAGTAAGAAGACTCTACCATCTTCGTTCAATCCTCAATTAATGTACAAGCCAAGACCGCGGCAGTCATTGCGTCATTTAATGTAGACGAGGCTCGTAAGGTATGGTTGGAGTTGCAATGACAATGCTCGTATTAACCGACGACGTTATCCCAACAACGAACTATAGAAAGGATTTTTAATATATTTATAGTACATTCCCTTTTACCATGGATATGCATTTGTAATTAGAGACTTATTGTAAATACCATGAATCTCCCAAAATTATCAAACAATTTATAGTTTTTATAATTAAATCTTGCAATTACGCCTAATAAATAATTTGTAATGTCAAACTTTTCAAAGGCTTTGAATATGCTGAAGTGCATACATCCTGTAACAACATCCTCGAGCGATATGAAGTCAACAAAAAAAAGTGTAGAAGCGAACTTTACGAACATCTTACAGCAAACTTCTTCATCAGCTCGAGCATGATTCATATTTCTGTAGTTTGGGGCCAATGCGAATATCTCCATAGAAAGTCTTTTCTTCTGCGAAAGGATGCGGTTAGCAAGGATGCGGTTAGCAAGGATGCGGTTAGCAAGGATGCGGTTAGCAAGGATGCGGTTAGCAAGGTTGCTCTGCCATCACTTTATTGGTGATTCCATAGTTATTACTCCCATAAGCATTCCCCATTAAGGAGTGGGTTTACGTTTACACCATTTCGAGCGGCGAGTATTCATATTCTGCTCATTTGCTCGTTTGTACGTACATTAAGTATTTGCTATCGACAGCGAATTGCAAGCCCGGTATTTTTGCCTCAATGGAAAATTGCATCGTTGTATACCAGTGCTTGGTGCACCAGCATACGCATTATAACACATTTATAGAATTTCCAATAAAGTTACTTGAAAATTCCGAGACAACGTAATAATTTCGAAAACGACCGCCGGTTGATGAATTTGTGAAAGGTTAAATTTAGCGTTGGAGCAAAACTCCCGGATAATTTATGAACAGGATTATGGCAGCATACTTATACTTGCCTTATCTCTCTCAATCCTTGTGCTAGAAAAAGTACATTCAGATTCGTGCAATTTTTCTTAATATGAAGCGGATCACATAGTCCACATAATAGCTCTTCATCCTCACAGTCGCGTGGACATAATTTCATTATGGAATATTACACGAACACCCCGTTTAGGAAGTTCACTGTAGATCTTATTTAGACAGAGGGCTTTAATTACAGACAAGAACTATTACCTGGCTATCTCAATACGGAATGAGGGCCGGAAAAAAGCTATTCTCAAGGTCTGCGTGTAGATTGACTCTTTTCCTCCAGTATATACTGCAACACTGGCAAGACAAGTACATATCTCAAAGTGGTAACGATCAACTTACGCATGTGACGACACTTAATATTAATAATTTATGTGCATGCATATTAATTAAATGCTCATTCTTCGTTTAAATTTCTTTACTCGCTACTGTTTACCACAAAGAGGATTAACAAATGCTTTTGTTGCGGGCGGGTATTCCTTGGTTGATTTCTTCGACAATCAATTCATCCATTAATAATACACTTTAAATTTAATAAATATCAAAATCTGTTTTCATGGTAGTAGCATAGAATTTTATAAGTTTTATCTGGCATGTATAATTCTTTTCCAGTTAGCTCTTGCTTCTGTTAATACTAATATTTCTTTTGCTCAATAGGTTCTAGTAATCTATTTTTAGTGTTCTTGTACTGGTCAATTATTCCTCTTATTTTCTCTTTGCTTCTAACCCACTTTCATAAAAATGTACACTATTGCTATGTGCTTTAGTATATCCCTGCTCAACTGTTTTTCATTTGATTCAATCGCCGTTTGAATGTCTGCTTTCATTTCAATTCCATTTTCATAATGCAAGCCGAGAATCTATTGTGCATATAAGCATTACCTTGTTTTGTTGTTTCTTGATAAAAGTTGGCAAACAGGAAAATTTTAGAGAATGTTATGAATTTGCACATGGAAACACAAATTAAAATAGATAAAAAAATTTTAAATTAGGTGGTTACACTATTATTTCCAAGGCCTCAAATAAATGGTCAATGTTCAGACCTGATTGCAGGAGGTGTTGCGTCCAGCGTGAAATGCGACCTTTTTTCAAGGATTGCGCGACGCGGCCCAATTGATGAATTGCAAACGTCACCAAACATTGTTTACTTTGTCTGGTTTTTGTGGAGCGCGCCCTTAATATAATTAGTCATAAAAAAATCAGCCACCAAATTGCTCCAATAGTACAATCCAATATATTGTTGAAAAATGTACAACGTATTACTGCCGTAGTAGTAAAATCAGTAAAATCAGTCTGCTTTTGAGTTCCCTTTCTTTCACACATACTGTCGTTATGGCCTATCCTTATAACCAACACCAACAGCAATATGGTGCGCCCCCACCGAATTATGGTGCTGCACCTCCACCTCAGCATGGATATCAACAGCAGCAAGGCTATGGGCAGCAATATCGCCCAACACCGCCGCCTCCACAGAGTAAGTGTATATAAAGTTGAGAACTGTTTGGGACTGTATTAAGTGACTACGTTTCATACGCTTCGAATCGGCAGGCCGTCCCGGTCCCCAAGCCATGACTGGTCCTCCACCAGGGGCAGACCCACAGCTGTACTTTTGGTTCCAGGCTGTAGATACGGATAAGAGCGGCGCCCTGACCACGGAAGAGTTACAAAAGGCCTTAATTAATGGTATGCGTTAATATAGCGTTGATATTGTATTCGCATGTTTGATAACAAACGTGTATGTTTAATTATGACGTTATTTTCGTAGGTGACTGGAGCCCTTTCAACTTAGAAACCGTGCGATTGATGATGAACATGTTTGATACCGGTAATTGTTTATCATTAATAGAAGAATATAGAGACAGATATCAATTGAGTCTGCGTTGTGCGAATGAGATCAAATGGATATTGATCGCATAGTTTCATTGTTTCCGTCGAAACAATAAAATTTGAAAACGAATCTGACGAGGCGTCTCTGATTGTCCCCATCTCTAGATAATACTGGCACAATTACTTTCAGTGAGTTTGCTGGTCTTTGGGTAAGTGATATTTCAATCAATAATGGGTGACTAGAATGAGTCAACTAGGCGATCATCAATGAGAATATTATAAAGAATGGAATAATGTTAGTAACGAGTGATGAGACTGTTTAAAAGTCTTGCTAAATCAATTGTACATCTGCAGAAATATATAGAAGACTGGAAACGTTGCTTCCAGACTTTTGATGCCGACAAGTCAGGAACTATCAACTTCCAAGAACTTAAGACAGCCCTCAAGTCATTTGGCTACAACTTGAGTGATAACTTTATTAATCTTCTAATTAAGAAGTATGATAAACATGGTAAGTTATGGACCTCTTTTCGTTTCTGAATCCTCATACTACCTCCAAGACCAAACCTTAACTTTTGACTGTCAAGCGATTGGCATGGGAGTAAGTAAAAGATGAGGAAATAGAATTGTTTTTGACATTATTTGATTTAACCGTGGATGAATGCGTGGGATTAACTGATTTGAAGGGGGTACAAAAAATCCAACAGGAAGAGGGGATGTTTCATTCGACAACTTTGTGGTAAGTTGAGATGGGGGCAAGAGATTTGAAATGGTATAGAAAGTTGCAATGATTGTGCGGGCTCAAGAAAGCGATCACGTTATGTATTAATGGCTACTTTGTATATCTCTCTCTTAGCAATCGTGTGTAACTGTGAAGACGCTCACGGACGCTTTCAGACGATTTGATACTGATAACGATGGTTGGATTACGATCAACTACGAACAGGTATGTTCAATCAATAATTTGGCTTTGTTATTGATCGTAGCATCTGATCGCCAATTGCTTCCGCTCATTCTTTGCTCTCCGCTTTCTTTTCTATAGTTCCTGGAGTTGGTTGTTAATAACAGATAATTAATTTGTCTAGTCAACTGCCGTTGAGCAGGTCACACGACACATTATCATTATATCACTTATTATCATTATAGTTATTGAATGCTACTCTAATAAAAGGGTTAATTATACAGCATTGTGTGATATAAGATCATCTCTCAGATGAAACGGATGTGCTAATTAATGTATTACTAGTAACTCAACTGTCGTCTAATAATGATTATCATTAAGTGGATCTATTAAAATTTTGAATAAGCTTAAAATAGCGACTACTATATTTGTCTACTTATAATCATTAGATTTCTGCGAACATAGCTAATGTGTAACGCTTGGCGGATTCTTATACTGCACCAATGCTTTATTGTATTACGGAACACTTGAAAGGATGTTTGTCGTCATTTTTATGTTTTTGTGCCTACTCAAAGAAAAAGAGTTGAGCCGGAGGGTCCGAGGTGTACAAGTGCCGGAATTGTGGAACTGTAATGGATATGGCGCTCGGGGAATCTTTCTCCGGGCATTGCTTGATGGAGCCTTGATTCTCTCCGGAGATCATGCAGGAAATAGTAATGCCTACTATTGATATGTTACAATCCATCCGGGTAATAATGATTGTAAGAGCGCGTGCGTTTAATAACGAGTATACAGATACAACGCTTATTTACTCAGTAATGTTCTAATGTGTCAATAAATGTGGTTAACGTGCCAGCGTAGTAATGAATGGTGAAAATACTCAAGATATATTCTCTCGTACATGATTAATTTTCAGGCAAATATTGAACAAATTTGGCATTTTTGAAAACAACGCCATATTGTAAAAAATATATACAAACTCCTGTTGGCCGACTTATGAGTTTCACGTAATAAATGCATTTAACAAATAGTTATGTGTTACCACACGAAGCCATTTCTTTCGTGTATTCTCTATATCTTTTTCTGTCCCAACGGTTTTTTGAACTGCGCATACAATGATGTATCTTCTTGTCGACTATTTTATCAAGTACTAAGCAAGAAGCCAACGTCCAGCAATACTAAATTTCTGGCAACGAACGGCGGCCAAATACAACAACTATTGCCCTAAGGCTTATTAGAAGGATCACTCAATTATACTAAATACCTGTCATGCATTAACCAATGCAGTTGCCTGTCCCTTTCTTCTTGGCAGGGCGAGAGTCGTTTCTGTCGTCCCAATCTCGGCAGGTCCTGCCAGCGCTGGAAGTCTTCGAAACACCTCATCTACTTACATTTTTGTGCGTAAGTGTTTCTTGTATAACCAATAAATTTTAATACACGCGTAAAATATGCCGTTGCTCACAATACGCGTATATCGACACCCTGAAGCAAGTAATAACGGATCCCTTTTATTTAGAGCATCTTTTCTACTAACTTGACATAGAATCGATAGGGAGATTTTAGTTTCTTGGCCAAACGGTAACGTACCAGAACCAGTTGAGTACGTGTATTATGCAAAATACTCCGAACTATAAGAGGAATGCATATTAATCTAAGGCTACAATCACTATATTACGTCATGAAAAATTATGTCATTCGAGGATTCGAGGTGCATGTACCGTCATTTGAGAGAAAATCAGATGACAATCACCCTCGCGCGCAAAGACTAGCTTGCGCACTTCTACATGATCTGACGAGAGTATTCCATGTGAATGTACAACCATGATTTATAAATATGATGATGATTTACAGTCTGTCAAATTTATTACTTTTTATGGAAATGTATCAAGATCGACAACGCAGCAATTCACATTTCGGACGTCGCTGTTAGAATTTCGAGAAACGTCCGTCTTCAAACATTCTGAATCAAAATGGACCTACCTTCAGAGTTCGAACAGGTACTGGCGAATTTCACCACGATCGACAAGAAACAGCGAAAAACATTGTAAGTATTTTATGATCGCATAACACATACACACATGCGAAATCGTTCTCTTGGTTTTTGACTCTTTCGTAACGTCTCATAGTTTGAACGCTATCCTCGATCGGTGTGATCCATATGACTTCTACATACTTCAGCAAAAACTACAGCGAATAGGGTTGAATGGCTTTGATCTTGTTGGAGCATTACCACATGAACTGTCAGTGAAGATATTTATTCAGTTGGAAGCGAGAGATATATGTGCTTGTAGAAAGGTATTGATCAGGTTATAAGAAATGTGTATCACGAGACAAGGAGAGAGTAGAAGAAACACTGCATATTATAAGGTCATGGGTGGGCACCATAATTGAGCTGGATGGAGTTTGTTAAGTCTCCAGACACGGGGAATAATCTCAAGTATGCAATGCTATTTACGCAAAGTGTCTCTCTAAGGGAGTAACTCGACATGATGAATGCGTGTTTGAATAGTAGAATATTATACCGAGGTGGTGCGAGTCGTTCATTTGGTATCCCGCAAACCTGAATTTTATTATTCCAATAATTATATTATAAATGCATTACTAATAAGTCTGCAGGAAATAGTCGCCAGTAAATAAAAGAGCGCGTTTTACTTGATGGTAACAACAAGGGTGGGAAATTACATGAGAAATGTTTTGGTCACCTAATGATATAAGGTGTCATGCACTAGAGTTATACTACAAAACCGTCATGGTTCCTTTAATCTAATCTTCTATTCCTCATTCTCTTTCACCTGACAACTCAGGTCAGCAAATTGTGGTGTAATTTAACAAAGGACTGGACCATCTGGCGCAACAAATACGAAAGTCTTCTCGATGGAGTCCCATACCCAATGAAAGACATTCCCAACGAAGAGTGGGAGACTGTCTATCGCAAACTTTACCGTAGAGAAATAAACTGGTATAAAGGACAGGTCAAATATATCAAAGTACTAAAAGGTCATAATGCTCGCGTAAGCGATGTGAGATTAAAAGACAATATCCTCGTCACTGCGTCAGCCGACCGGACCGTAAGAATTTGGGATTTAGAAACTGGACATTGTAAACGAGTATTGATGGGTAATTCGTTCAGCTGTGTGGACTTTTTGCCAAAGGAGAAGATCGTGGCTGCGTCGACCTTTTTCCGGTAGGGATCGCATACTTTATGTCTTGTCAAACGGGGCTGAGCATTGGGTGTTTGGTGGATTAGCTGTTATCCACACGTTCATTAATCGATCGCATTGTAACAAACAGTTCATCATTTGTTTGGAATATGGAAACCGGAGAGCTTATAAGAGAATTATGCGGACATGTGAGCGCAGTAAGGTGTATTAGTCTCAACAAAACGTATGTAGCTTCGTGTGCATTCGACGGAAGTTTGATCGTATGGAATTGGATAACGGGGGAGAAAGTAGTTACTATATCAGCCGATGTAAGATATCTACCACCGTCTGCCTTAACTTTTCTATCCATTGGTCTATTGTCTTTCTTCCTGTATTCTACTGAACACATCGTTTTTTCTCCTCCTTGTTTTTAATAGGCCAACGACTTCCGGATGTTGGAAACTGCCCTGGTAACTCACAGTACCAACGAAATCAAAGTATATGCTCTGCCCACCGGCGACTTGCTCTACTCAACTCCATTTGATAAAGGTATTGTGGCCTGGGCGTACATTAAAAATTACTTGTCAACCGATCTCGAGTCTGCTCTCGCTTTCCTCCAACTATCGATGCCCCTTCCACCCGGAGTTTCAAACGTGAACGGGCGCTCACCGCGCGTATATGCATTCGACACCAAAAAAGGACGAATGGTGCGTCCGAGCAATGATGATGCAACACCAAACATGTTGAATTTGACACTTTTGGACGAGCAGGCAAGATCAAAAACTCTACGATATCCGACGGACGCGGAGAGCGAAAGCTTTAAAGAGTTTACAGCTTTGACTATGGACCGTGGGCATGTCGTTGTCGGATGTTTCAATGGATTAGTGGTTGCTTTAGGATTTCAGGGAGATTGAAGTAATAGTATGTGGAGAAGGTTTAGTCAAATTGTCTATTTGTACTAGATAATTGTTATCCGTTTTGGGGTACATTCATAATTGAAAACTATATAGACTTTCGCTTTCATAAGTTATTGCAGGTGCATTCGCTTAATCTTCGATATCTACGCCAAACTTCTTATACATTTCTCTGGTTGTTGTTCCCTCGATTTCTGCACACTTTGGGATCAATTAGAGATGGTATATCGTTATTTGGACAATACGCATTATAATTGTATTAATAATAATTCTCATCTGATTCTTGTAAAATTCACCTTTCCAAGCAGCATTTGTCCAACATCTTTTATTTCATTATATTCATGTATTCGTTTATAATGAGCATTGAGAATCTTTTGGATATCGGTTGCTCCACTTAGAGGAGGAAAATGAACAACAGCACATTCGAATAGACATTTAATTACAGTAGACAAATAATAAAGCAACGGAATTGTAAGTTACAGTTTTTGCTTACTCGAATTGTTTCATGGTTTCTGTCTCGCCTGCTTTCAACGCGTTTAGTCGTTCCTCGAGAGATTTTATCTGTGACTGTAATAAAGTCTGCTTTGCATAAATTGGTTTAGTCTCGTATATTGAATGAAGCGTTTAGAGTTTTCAACTTGCCATTAGAACTAGACGTGACGTAAAAGCATAATCATCTAACCTTCTCAGCCAGAGCTTTCGGATCAGATTCTATGGATGTGATATCGGATTCTGGTAGCGATTTGCGCTAGACAAGAATAATAATTTCAGTGAAATCAAACGATAGCCACATTGCAACACGAGAGGACGGACACTTGACGATACCTTAACGCCTTTATGCTCAGTACGGGAATTATCGAGATAATATATAGTTAAAGTATCCTCGGAGTTTTTACCAAAGCTATCACACGTATTATTTGATCCTATGTTTCTCTTCCGTTCTGTTCTGAAAAGCACGTAATGTTATTAAAGATTCGCTTGCCCACTTGTAGTCGAAACTTGATCAAACTTACAAAATAGTTTCCCCCACTAGATGTTCAAGCGATGGCATGCATGAATCTCCAAATTCTTGCTTCAAATCAAATAAACACACGGCTGTACTCTGTTTGTGTTCTACAATGAACTTTATGATAGATTCCTTGGAGGGCTGGAGAACGGCAGACATTTTTGGACACGCGAAAAGTGGGTGAACAAAATGGTAATTTAGTGCAATGATCAGCAACCGGGGTTTTAAAGTTAATCGGACGAATTGTAATAAGAAATTCAGGTGATGCCAAAGTAAATTCTTAATTAGCGAGGTACGCGTCGCGACGTTACGTTAATCTGTTTCTAACAACTTGAACTAAAGAGAAGAAGAAGAAGAAGAAGCTTATTGTTCATCAATTGGTCGAGACTAATCGCGTATTTTTTTCTCTTCTTATCCCGAATTTTCGTATTCTGCATTATTTGACCAATAATAATAAGGGCATTATCTGAGGTAATAAAAAATTTTATTATTTAATGTATCTTGCTTCCGAATGGATGGATTGTAACACATCAATAGTAAGTATAACTACTATTTCCTCTGTGACACTAGTACTCTTGACCCGCGAAAATATAGAATTAATTATTACCAACACGAACAGTTAAGAAAACAAATTATTTAGCTATCTTTCTCTTATCCACCGACAACGAGACGCGAAGGGAGGAGAATTGTTTAAATCTTGCCAGCTTACAAGTTAAAGCTTGGAAGCAGCAGATTTTATTCATTTAAAATTAATATGCATATAGTGAGCGTATTAAACTAATTAGAAGGCTGTCGAAAATATTATCCAGCTCTTCAACCATAAACCATTTCAATTCACTAGGATTTTTGGACAATTTAAATTGCCCAGAGGTGAATTTACTGTTGGAGGGTCAGTCCAACTTTCAGCCAGGGACGTTTTGTTAAAGAAAATGCAAATAATGTGTTAGATCATTGTCTTGCTGTAGTCACCACTTGTCTTTCAATATCCTACGACAAATGTCCCTATTAACTCTGCATTCCGAAAAAGTCTGCTCCAACATGGCCTCATCATGCTCTACTGTGACTTCCTTCCCATCGTCTGCCCCTTGCAAGTCTCCATGCACAAATTGTAATGTTTTAACCACTCTAATGATTTCCTTTCTCAGGGAGTAATCACGGGAGAACAGTTGACTATTCACGGTAGCTAATTTCTATCCTTTACATTGGCCCACATACACATCCTTATACGGAATGAGTGTTCGCTTTTTGGTGGTATAAATTTACATTGGCCCCCAGAATATTGACCAATTAAAAGTGGCGTTAACAGGTTTTTCAAATTTTGAACCCCTAAATCTTATTCTCGTTCTATCTTAATCCAAAGCGATTATGAAATTCATCCGTCGTGTTATTGATATCCTTACAACTGATTAATAAGGGGAAATGGACAGAATTACCCAAGGATAGATCGTACATGTAGATGAACGTATGTATATATGCAATATCATGCTACTTTTGACGTGGTTTTTTATTATGACGAGCCTTTACGTTAATTAGCCTGAATTATTATGTGGACAAAGCGTATAAATTTAGGGATTCCTCGTTTCTGATGAATAAAGACCATGCTACCTTTTGTTTTGGTTTTCTTTGAAATTGGTTTATTTCGTTTCTGTTAATTTACCATTCCATCTTCCTTTTTTATCTATTAACTTTCTCAGGTAAAAAAAAAAGGTGTCGCGTGGTTAACCTGTTGATCAGTCTACTCGGATGGGTATGTGCATTACGAACAATGTAAATAAATTACTGAAGAGTTTTTCAACTGTTAAATGAAGATATATTCCAACACCTATGCGACATCATCTTAAGATGAGCGAAACGAATAACATGCACTACCATCTGATATAATACTGTAAAGAAATTCCCCTTGGACTGTATACCATACATTGATCAGGCTCTAAAATCGCATCATCTCTACTTCAAATAGACCGTAAACAATTCGAGGCGAAGGTATAAGAAGTCAGAAGTCAAGCCAGTTTGTCATTCCTTGAAAGAAGCTTCTCTCGTATGCCTAGGTATGTATACTGGTAGATAATCCAGAAAGATTTGCATAATGATGATTATTCAATAAACCAGTTCTGCTACTGATAATCTTTGAAGAAACATTTCCAAAACTTACATTGTCTGATACACATGGACAAGTGTTTTCTTATGGAGAAAACTTGGTTGATCATTGGTACTAACATATACCTACTCACTATTAGGATATGATAGACGAGGCCTCATTAACATCTCATTCCCGGTAATTACCAGAATTAAATGATTATGCATCTGATACTTCCCATGGATTAGCTCATATCCAACTGGTATTCCCCCCCCCCCCCCAATGCACTATTAGCGATGGACCTACGTTAGGATAGTCGTATCGGGACTCTACAAAAGTGATAGTAAGTAGAATATATTACCATTGTAAATATTATGTATAATAGCAGAAATGATGTTCACTATACAAATCCGTGTTTCAGATGAGGTTAACCAACGATTATACGATGTAGTTCTGATTTTATCTCGATGTGCAATCTTTTCGTTCTTTATTATCATTTTACTTACTTTCGATTCTATGACTATTAAGGGTGTCTGGTTCCATACTGCATATGCTCAACTCGGATCCCTACTACACGTACTCTAATTACAAGGTAACATCTTTTTATCCATTCGTGATTTCTCTTTTCCTAATGACGATTTCTTAAATCCATTCGATGATGGGGAATTACATCTTATCAGATGACGGGGTAGTCCCTTTCAACAGGGGTTCTCTCTGTTGCGATGTGATTAATCTCGTGTCGATGGGATGGGAGAGATTACATGAATTATTATGACTAGTGTCTTCTCTTTTCTTTTTCCTAAAGATATAAGATATTTATTACTGAAAAGATATGATCAACCAAAGTTAGTTATTAAATTAGCACATAGAGCTGACTATTTGATTATATTAAATTGTATAGGATATTATAATCGCGTCTAGTACGTGGGGTGGCTGAAAAGTGGTGCGACGGAAATGTCTTTATTTCCAACATTTATGTTACAACATCGAAATAGCTATTTCATAAGTAGTGACTGTCTCTGTCTATAACAAAGTTGTAGCCTCCTATTACTATGCCAACCCTCAAACGATCTATGGTACTCCTCTTTTGCTGCCGCACGGATAGCGGCGAATAGCCCGTGTGAGATTTTCAACCTTATTAGGTTCTTTTTTGATCCAGTGAACAGAAAAAAATCGCATGGCGCCAGGTCTTCCTGCTTCCTGAATTGGAATTGGTTTTCTTGCTTAGATGGACAACAAATAAAACAACAATCTAGTTTTGTTTTTATTGGGAAAGTTACATATACAGAAACTGTAGTGTATAACAATTCCAGATAATGCCCATTATGCGATCAACACCCATCCCAATTCTGAGAATTAATATCTTTAAAATACGAGGAGTGTATTCCTACACCAAATATTTTCTTCTTTATGTTGTAGACTATATCGAAAGTCATTTATTATGACTGGGACGTGGCGGCGACGGCGGCGACTGATATTTATATGGATGTGGCGCGATCTTTGGGCATGGGACGAATTGGTCGTGCACCTTCGTACCCAGCAACTTCTGCCTCTGCCCAACGGGAAAGACTGAAATAGTAAAGAGCAGTGGATACACCAACAGAAAGCTAAGCTTTGTATACCCACAAAAAATAAGACATGTTATAATTGCTTCGGACAAAACAGGGAGATTGGAGGAATCTTGAATGTTCCATATTCACGAAGACAATATGTCGTGCCACCCCTTAATTTTTCGTAATAGTCCAGCACCCCCTTCTCACCACAGCAGTAAAGAGACTGAAGTTTTAAGTTCCTCCAATTGTAATATACATCGACGTTGTGTTTCTTGCTTAGAAGTGGGCATTGTTAAACGAAAATTACGTATGTATTAAGGGTCAAGTTTATAAACAGTGCTCTGATTATCATGTTTATAACAAACACGTAAAAAAGTATCTGGTGTTACATGGTGTTTTGCCTCTTTATCACGGATGCTTCAGAACTATTATGCGACACGCCTAACCAGTCTGCTGATACCAGCATGCTCATGCCAAAAATGTGGCAAAAACTTTTAAAAAATTTGGTCTGGTTAGTCTCATAAAAAAAAGCCTCTTATGAATCGGGAACAACCAATAGAAAGGACAGATGAAATAGATTTTGCGCAGTCGGTAAAATTTTAAGTTTATTCTGTCTCTGGAGGATAATGGATGCCAAGTTTTGTAAATACAGTCACTGGCGGCCAGTACTTTTTTAATATGTCAATTTGTTCTTATAGTTTTTTATAACAGAAGTTCAAGACTAATATCATAACTTGCAAATGAATAGTGGCTTTCTTTTATATCTATGTTAATTTAAACCTAATTTTATGAATAAAATTTTGAGTGTAAAAGCTACTTTACATTAACAGATTTAAAGCAGAGATTATACTTTTCGATTTAAAAACGCGAACATTTTATAGTAGATTTGAGACTGTTGGCAAACGACTCGCATTTTTTGGATCACAGTCTTTTGAATGCAGCGTTAACAGCACACGATTTTATTTTTAACTCAACCCATATTGACATACATGGAAGCATGTCGTATCTAATTTATTTAATTAGAAGAGAAGTAAATAACCCGTGTAAACTGTAAATACCGTGAATTACAAGTTTATTCAAAGAGTGTCTGAGTCACTAAATTATAAGCAGCGGATGATGTTAATACTGATATTTCGTTTATATGAACAGAACCACTAACAATACCATAAATCGTGTGAAGGTAAATTATGTGTTTGATTTCTACAATGCGTTGTATTTTGTCTTGACTTTGACTTCATTCATTAGAAGGCCTTCGTAAAAGTAAAGACTATCCGCAAATTATTCTCTATTTGTGAGCATTGTAATTATAATTTGTCAACTAGTCGCATTAAAATTTTTCAGCAAATAATCAGCCGACAAAAAGAGAATATATATGTATAAAAAACGTGCAGTATAAACCAATAAAAATAAAAACAAAAAAAGAACGAGAACGAAAAGAATATATTTATATATAAATAAAAAACACTAACAATTTACAAATTTCGAATTTGAAAATACAAATTATTTTTTAAATGAAAGCGATCTATTAT